ATTAAGCCTGAGATCTATGGGCTTAAAAGAAAGCCATTTTTTCTTTAGATTCTTAGTTCAATTTTTAAAAATTAAAAAATGATTGCCATGTCATAATTGAACTTATTTATGAATTGCAATGTGACATTTTGATTCATGCTTACATTCGATAGTTTTTTTTTTTAAAGTCCATAATGAAGAGGCATCATTGTACCCTACTTGATCACCATCAATATTTATCCTTAGACACAGGGAATTCTCTTCTGGCTTCCTTCACTCAGTACTAAAGAGATACCACTGAACCCCTCAGCCTTGTCTCCAAGAATCTCTGTACAACTCATTTGGAAAGGGAAAGATTTTTTTCTTCTTTAGTTATTTTGCAAACCTTCCTATAACATTTGTTATGCAGCAAGAGCTATTTTGAAGTATCGTATAGCCCACTTTGCAGATGAGGAAACTGAGGTACAGACAAACGACATGATTAGCATATTACTTGCAGGTTGTGTAGTTCAATAGTGATAGAATTGGGGTGACTGCCCTACCCCAAGCAGTCTGGCTCTTGACTCTTTCACTCATAACCCCACCATGCTGGTGTTCACCTCCTGGTCATGCTTTTTCATTATTCGGTTATTAATCTTCCTTATGCATATGGGGGATTGTTATGGTTTGAATCTGAAGTTTCATGTGCTGGCCACTTGGTTTCTAGCCCCTGGGATTCTGGAAAGTCACTGGATCCTGAGGGCTCTGACCTAATCAATGTTTTAATCCACTGATAGACTTGGAATTTGAATAAATTATTGGGAGGTGATGGAACTGTGGATGGTATGGCCTTCCTGAAGGAAGTGGGTCACCAGGGGTGTGCCTTCACAGGGTGCCTCTTGCCCCTACTTCCTTCCTGTTTCTCTTCTCTGCTTCCTGACTGCTATGAGAATAGCTTTTCTCCACCATGTCCACACTTGAAAACGTCCCTGCATTACCATGTAATTAAAAGCAATGTAGCCAGCTGATAATGGACTAAGACCTCAGAAACCATGAGCCAAATTATTCTTTCCTCCTTTAGATTGTTTCTTTTGGGTATTTGTCTTGGTGACTAGAAGTGTGACTCACAGGAATAGTATAACATCACAATTTCCTTTGTTCTAGTAAAGTTTCCCGTGTTATGCTTAACTCTCACTTTGATTCTGTTTGCTTTATGTTGGAAATACCTTTAGCTTGGGTCTTTGTGCTCAGAGTCTCAGGACTGTGGGAAGCTCAAAGGGGACAGACAACTTTTCTACCAAGTCTGGGGACAAATATGAACAAATCAGCCCTCTCCACTGAGCCAAAGCCACACAGGGAAAGAAGAGAGTGGCTTAGTTGAGGACGGTCTCAGTTAAGCCACATAGTTTAGATTCGTAGAATCATATATCATCTGTGCCACCCTTGATGAGTCACTTCCAGACAGTCCCTGCCTTCTTACGGGCCACATTGTAGTCTTAATTGTGAGGAATTCCAGCAGGATGGATGTCACCGGCTTCTTATAGAGTCACAAAACCGCCTCTGCTGTGTAAAGAGCCATCCAGCACCCATACTACATTCCTTCCTGCCTGAAAAAGTCCCACAATATCTGAGACATTCCAAGGAAAAGGAAAGGAAAAGTGAGGTGAGAGTAGGGAGGGAAAGAAGGGAGAGTCGAAAGAGGAAGCCTTCTTTCTAAGCCTCAGGTCAGTCTACTTCTGGACTGCCTTCTCTGAACTCCCTTCAATATAAGCTGGGCATGCTGGACAGCTCACTTCCAACCTCAACACTGGAAGATCTTTGTTGCTAAGATCCTCTGTGATCTCTACAGAACTTAAGTTCGTGTCCAAAGTCGTAGGCATGGGGCAGAGTCCTTTATAATCTGGTTCCCTCATAAGCCCAGGGTAGACTTGAACTCACTAGATAGCTCAGGACGACCTTGAACTTCTGATCCCCCTGTCTTCACCGCCTGAGTGCTTGGATTACAAGAATGCATCGCTACACACCATTTTATTTTATGATGTGCTGAAGATCAAAGTCAGAGCTCTGTGCATGGTGCACACTCTACCAATGCAGCTCCACCCTCAAACTCCTGGTCTGCTTCTTAGTCTTTGCCATATTGGCATGTTCCCTTCCCTGTCCTCCCTTCCCTCCTCTTCCCTCCTTCTGTCTGCTCACCTCCTTTTTCTTCTTCCAGCTTCTGTCTCTCCTTCCTATACCTTCAGTCATGTCACCTACTTATGATTTTCATCATCCCTCCTGCCTCCTGATCTTTTCTCAATCTTTTCTTTGCATGGAATTCCCTCTTCTAACCCTTTACTCTCCCTATCCTGTAAGACTCAGTTCAGCTTTTCTCCACAGAGCCTATCCCTGACTCTCCTCCACTGTCTTTTTATTTTATGTGTATGCATGTATTGCCTGTATGAAGGTAAGTGCACCCGTGTCGTGCAATGCCCGCGGAGGTCAGAAGAGGCTGTTGGCTCCCCTGAGACTGGAGTTACAGACAGTTGTTAGCTGCCATGTGGGTGCTGGGAATCGAACCCGGGTCTTCTGCAAGAACAACCAGTGTTCTTAACCACTGAGCCATCTCTCCACCCCCCTCATTGTCTTATTTTTACCCCTGTAGTGCAGTTCTCATGGCATTTAACTCTCTTGTCCAAGTATTCTTACCTCTACAGGACCATAAACTCCACAAAGGAAGAGACAGTGTTCTTTCATGTTATTTCTATCAAAGATGCTAATACATCTTTGTGGAATGGATGATGGCAATATTACACAGTGGTGTAAGCTGGTGCCTATCCCTAGCAAAAGCTCTGAGTCTAATCTCATGTACTTAACAAGAGTCAGACTCAGAAAAAGGGCAAGGCATTGTTATAGAGCATAAAGCTATTCAGATTACATCTGGGACTGGAACCCAGGCTATCAGACTGTGAGTGTCTCAAGGAAACTGAATGCATTATATGAATCCTGTGGCTCCAGGGCTCAGTATGTCTGGAAAGTAGCAGGTGCCTAATGAATGAATGAATGAGCACACAGCACCCCATTCTTTCCACTGCCCAGGACAAGGTGGATCACTGCCAGCTCTGTGGTACTACATTTGGTTTGCTCAATATTAACAACTAAACCAAATAATCAGAGCGAAAGATTCCAATTTAAATGTGAATTTCTTGTCCACTACCAGGTAAGTGGACAATTGTCCAATTGCTTTGGGGTTCTGAAGCCTCAGCATAAACCACGTTGCCTTCCTGAAGGACAAGTCACAATAGCTGGATTGCATCCAGTGGTGGCCCAGATATAATGTTACCACCCTGCCAACAGAAAAAGGCTGATGCTATTTTTAAATTTCCTCTGGAAAGTAGGTGATATGAATCCCTTTGCTTGGCCATTCTGATGTCACTCAAACCTCCAGGGAGGATAGTTGCCCTTCCCAGGCTATAACAATGCTTTATCTTGGGTTTGGAATCTCTCCCAGACAGGTCAGATCTCAGATGAGAGGGCAGGCTTCTGATAGCAAGCAATCCCCTCATGTCAGCCCAATTTTCCTAGCTCAGTAGATAGGTCAGATAAGAGGGAGAAAATATGCATGATGTTAACACAGACTATAGTGTGGTGAGCTCAAACCAGAGGGTGCTGCCACAGCTACCACCACAAGGGTAGTGAGGGATGGGAAAGCCCAGGAGCTGCATAATGGACCAGGAAGTGTGGCCATGCATACCTATAATCCCAGAACTAAGAGAGAGAGAGAGAGAGAGAGAGAGAGAGAGAGAGAGAGAGAGAGAAGGATCAAGAGGTCAACACCAGCAGGGGCTGCATGAGATCCTGTCCCAAGAAACAAACAACAAAATAATCAAGTGAAAATGAAGCTAAAATAGATCACCTGAGCTTTAGATCATAGCTTTCCACTTCAGTAATTTGTTTTGAGGTTACACAGCTAATACTTCCTCTGAACTACTTTCCCTCCTCCTGTAAAATAGATCTGATAATAGCATAAATATTTGTTTAAATAATTCATGTAACATAATCTCAGCAGTGCCTGGAACATGTAATGTAGTAATGTACACACACGCACACACACACACACACACACACACACACACACACACATCTGCCTCCCAGGGTGAGGAACAGCTCTGATGGGTAAATCAGCATCAACAGCACTTATACTGTGACATACTGTAACTTTCATTTGGGAATGCATGTAGCTACTCATGTGTTATCTCTGCTCATCTCTTAAGTTTTGAATGGTTTGATGCTCTTGAAACCTGTTCTGATGAGAATAACTCCTGGTTCTCCAGACGCTTTCAAAGCAAATTTCATGTTTATTGCCATAGCTTGTTTTTGAGCAGACAACCCCAAATACATACCCCATATTTAGTAAAAAATCAGTCCAATTGTTTTCTTTAGATATGTATGTGTGTTTCTGTATGCAAATGTATGTATATATATACACATGTGTAGAGAGGGGGGAGAGAGATTTTCACCTAAACAAGTATAATCAGGTGAAAAAAGGCTTTTGAAATTAACTGAAATTTCTTGGTGTGCTAGTGATTTCTGAATCATCACTGAGTCATTTTGTAATGACTCTTCCTTTTGTAATCATTATCCTAGGTTTTGAACCAGGTAAGGCTTGACTTACCATTTTGCAGTATATATATAAAGCAAAAAGAAAATGGATATAAGGGACATGAAGGGATAGAAGCCATACAACACAGCAGAGCACTGGAGCCTGGGAGTGTGACAGAGAAGTCTCTTTAGCTGGTGGTTCAGGGCTTTCATCAGGTCTTGGGTAAGGAGGAGCTGGAGGATGTTTTTCTGATTTCTATAGACTGAAAGGCACGTTGAATTATTTTGAACCGAGATAACCATTTTTTTGAACACAAGATCTCATACCCCCTATATGGCCCAGGCTGACCTTAAACTCATGCCTTTCCTCTGGCTTCAACCTCCCAAATGCTGAAATTACAGGCATGAGCCATCACATACAGCTTTGTGTTGAAATAATTTCAGCGGTTCTATCCTGCACACAGGATCTACAATGAGTACTTTGATCAACTCTGGTGACGTTTGTATAAAAGTGACCTCTCAAGCTGTGTTCAGCCTAAAAGTCCATTTAATCAAGATTTTCTACCTAGAAAAAGAAGAAACGAAGGTAAGTAGCACCCTTTATACTATGAAGCATCTCTTTTCATATCTGAAGAAAGAAATGAGGGATCCCAAGGCAGAAGCAGTGAAAACCATTAGTTAAACCACAGAGTCAAGCCCATTTGTTCCTTCAAAAAATGCTTTCCTCTTCCTTTTGTAATTGTTATCCTAGATTTTGAAGCCAGGTAAGGCTTGGCTTATCACTTTGCAGTAATACACACACACACACACACACACACACACACACACACAATAAAAGCAAAAAGAAAATGGATATAAGGCAGCATAGTGTGGGGTTCTGTCCCCCTGACTAGATTAAGATATGCTTGGGAACAGAACATTCCCACCTTCTAACCTAGGAAGAATAGGGCAAGGACCTCACTACCTTAGCTCACTAACCTAAGCTCTGGAGAATAGATTTCCTCTGCATCGCAGTACCATCAGAAAGCTAAATACAATGGCTCTGCAGGAACCCTTTCAGCCTTGGGCTACAATGCTTTAGCTTCCTAGGCTATGTACAGCCAACACTTCAGGGCTCCTAGAGGGGACACTTAGATGTCACAATATTCCACTTGTTTCCCAGCATTCTCCCCAACAGTGAACCCAAAGGAAGAATTTGGCCTCTCTTTGGGTCTGCTGTGACTTGCTGCTCTTGCCACCTTGGAACCCTCTTGCCTCTAGAAAAAGGGGGAGGGGGATCTGGAAGAGAAGGTTTCTCCACAGGGCAGGTTATATACTAGTTACTTTTCAAATTCCTGCGACAGAAATACCTGACAGAAGCAATATAAGGGAGGAGATATTTATTCTGGTTCACAGTTTCAGAGGCTCCATTCCATCATGGCAGAGAAGGCATGGTGGAGCAGGTCTGTTCACATGAACACATGACTATGTGTCCATAGTCAGGAAGCAGAGAAGGAATACTGGTGCTCTGCTAACTTTCTCCTTCTGCCTTTTATTCTGGGCCCTCAGACATTACCATGGCTTTTACATTTTCAAGGCAGATCTTTCCTCCCTCAATTAATCCTCTCTGGGAACACTCTCACAGACATACCCAAAGTTGAACCTCAGCATCTCCTAGGTGATTATAAATCCAGCTAAATTGACAAGGGCAATTTGGCAGTTTGAATCCATTAGGCACACGTCAGAGGAACTCAGTCCACAAATCTAATTTAGCTTCAGTATTGCCAAAGATGTTTTCTGGAGGGATAAAAATGTAGGTGTTATTTAATACACGGGACTTTATCAAGCCGCATCAGCATTTTATTATATACCAAACCAGCCTAAGACTGAAACTATTCCCATGCTACACGTGGAGACATAGACTTCAAAGAAGTTTAGTAACTTCTCCAAGACCTCATGGGAGGGTCACAGGGAATGACATTCTTGAATGAGAAATTTATGTTTTCCAATGTTTTTTCCTCATGTAATGGCTAATATTGATTGGCAACCTGACAGGATCTAGAATCACCTAGGAGATAAAACGCTGGGCATGCTTGTGAGGGATTACCTAGATTAGCATAGCCTCTGGGCATGCCAGTGAGAGATCATCTAAATGAAGTTAATTAAAATGGGAAGATCCATGCAAATCTGGGTGGTATCATTCCAAGGGCTGGGTATGTGGACTAAATAAAAAGGAGAAAAACTGAGCATCTATTGCTCTCTGCTTCCTGACTATGGACACAATGTGACCCATACCCTCAAATTCTTGCCACTATGACTTCCCTGCATAGTGGATTGAATCCTTGAACTGTGAACCAAAATAAACCCCTTCTTTCTTAAGTTGCTCTTGTTGAAATGTTTTAGTGCAGCAATAAGAAAAATAACTAACACAACACATAACAGAGAAAGTCTCAGACGTTTGTGAAATAAGCAAGGTGAGCTGAAACCAGTCTCTTCTCCATCACTGGTGGTGGTAGATTTACCAAATAATAACATGAGAAGCCAGTTAAACTTAAATTTTAGATAAGGAGTTTTTTAGCTGCCCCCAAATTAATGCTTTCCCCTTCCTCTTCTTTCTTCCTTTCTCTCTCTGTTTTGCCCTCTCTCTCAACCTTCCCCCATCTCTCTCCCTTTCCTTTTCCTGCCCCCCTTTCCTATCCTCTCATAATCTGTCCTGTTACCCATCCCCATTTATTTAAAAAGGATACATTCCAATGGCATTCTGTTCATAGTCTTTGTTGTCAACAACTAAAATTCCACGAAAATCTCCAAATTCTGGTGTTTGGGACCTTCCGATTATCAGACACTTTGATGAAAGATTCTCAGTATATTCAAGTCAAAAACAAACGCAATTTCGAGAACAGAAAAGTTAAATATGCTTAACTTAAAAGCACTTTAACAGATCAAATATTTAAAAAATCTAACTCTTGAGGATCATCAAGGTGAACTTGTGTCCTTTTCCATACTGAATCATTGTTGTGTATTACATATAACTTTATTCATTGTCTGATTTGTCCTTTCCTTTGTCAATTTCAAATGTTCAGTGTATTCTGTTTACTCTCATCCTCCATCCATCCTCTCTAACCCTTTTCCCACCTGTCTCCTCCCTCTCCTCCTTACAGATCCCTCTTCTCACATTCACATCTTTTTGTTTTGTTCTGTGACCCACTGATTTTTAACTGACCATGGCTGTGGGTTTAGAACTATCCATTTCAATACGGTGGCTCCCGATCGCATACACAACCGAAGATAATGACTGTCCCTCCCCTGAACTCATCAATAGCCAGTTCAGTAGGAAGTGGTGACCCTATCAACACTTCCTGGATCCATAATTGGCTTTTGACAGGCCCCATTTTGTATAGATCCAGTGTAGGCAAATGAAGCTGCTTTGAGATCCTGTTTGTAATGGCTGTGTCATGCCACAAAGATAGCATTTCAGCTCTACTCCCTATCTTCTGGCTCTTGCATTCTTTCCACTCCTTCTGTGAGATTTTCTGGGCCTTAGAGGGAATGGTATAGATGTCCTGTTTAGGGCTAAGCACTCAACTGTCACTTATTGTAAGCACCTTAAGTAGCCATGAGCTACCATATTCACAAGCTCAATGAGAAGCTTTTCTGATTAAAGATAAAAGTAGCATTTGCCTGTGAGTATAAACATAAATATTTAGAATGTAGTTTGGTGCCCTGTCAGTTTATCTCAATAACAGTATTAAGTTCCCATCTAGAGCCTATTTCTTCCCTGACCTTGAGTTTCTGACCAGGTTTATAGTACTAGGCATGGATTTCCTCTTGTGGAGTGGTCCTCAAATCTAATCTGAGAGTGGTTGTTGCTCCCAAAATAGCAGTGCCACTATTGAACCAGGGGGTACATCTTGCCTAGCAGATTGCCATTGTAGTCCATGGAGTTCACAGATGGAAAGATCATTGATATCTTCATTCCCCAAACAGCCTACATGGCAACTTTTGTCACTTTGAGAACTACCAGCAGGGAGGAAAATTCCAACTCGGTTCCAGTTTGATTTCTCTGTATCTTACAACTAAGCTATGTGATATCTTCAAGAACAAGGTCTTATCATCTAGTTCTGAAGGGTATCCAGGAAGAACAGCCAGAGTCTATATTGTTTTGGGGGACTTTGGGGTCTCTATGACCAACAATTCAGTCCCCTTGGTACTGGGATTATAATAAATTCAAATCTATAGAATTATTGCAAATTAATACAAAGGATTATCCCCCATATGACTCATTCAGCTTTCTACATTGATGTTATAATATACTATGGAGGTTTGTCCTAACTAAGAAACCAGTGTTACTGCCAGCCAAATCGTCTATGTTCTACTCAGATTTTTCTAGTTTTCCCACTATTGTTCTCCTTTTATTCAAGGTTGCCACATTGCACTTAGTGGTCATGACTCTGAAGTCTTATGTGATCCTTGTAACATTGTTTTTCATGACCCTGAAAGTTTTAAGGGAATGGTGATGGGTGAGGTATTGCAGAATGTCCCTCAATTTGAACTTGTCTAATGTATTTCTTGTGGTCACACCAGGATTATGGATTTTGGGGAAAAATACCACTGAACTGAAGTCCCTTCCCAACAGTTCATATGTCATCAACATTGATGATGTCAGTCTTAGTCACTTAATTCAGCATTTGCCAAAATTCTACACTGTAAAATTTCCAATTTCTGGAAGCTGGTCATTAAGTGAAGACCACACATAAGAGTAGGAGTGGGGGCCATTAAGCTCCTCCTGGAGAAGACAATAAGGAATATTAGTCTCTTCTTTCCCTCTTATTTTTTTATCCAATCATTTGTTTATACTGATATAGATTCTTCAATATTTATTTTTATACTCCAGACTATAACTCAAAATGATGTTATTTATTTTGATGCTGAAATTGTTTCATTACATTCTTATCATTATGGGTAATTTTTTTCTTAGCACTTACTTTCTGGCAGGAAGAGATAGTCCAGGCTACAATGATTATGTTACATGTGAGAACATTGAAATTTGTTTGATAAAATTATAAGTTATATGTAAATGACAACTGTTTCAGCCCATTTATACTCTACTGACTTTCTAAAAACAACATTGTATCATTCTTCACGTGTATTTGCATTCATCTAATCACTATAAAAAGATCACTATTATAGTTTTCTAAAAATTTGTTTATTTATTTATTATTTACTTCCTTATTGACAGGCATGGACTCTCTAGTAGACCAAGCTGGCCTGCAACTCACATAGATCTTGCCTCTGCCTCCTGAGTTCTGCAATTAAAGAGCATTGTACCACATTACATTGCCAATGTTATAGTTTTTAAGTGAATTGACAATGCAGTATATAACTGTAATCCTCATTTAACAGAACCAAAAATTAGGATTATTTACAATATATTTTCTTTTTAAATCATTTGTGTCATTTATATAAAGGTGTCTTCATTTGACTGTTTGCCAGATTCTCCCTCTGTGAATACAGTTAAAACAGATGAGCCTTCATTCTGTTTTTCATATAGACACAAGAAATATTGGAATAAAATATGAGTAAAATTAATTTAGAAGAGACATGTAA